CTTGAACACGCTTACAAACACACTATATATCTCTTTCACGCACACAATAATAAAAACAAAATCAAATTCGGAGTTCCTGTACAATACGGCTACTTTGTTGTATTTAGGGCAGTCATGGCTGTGGAGTAGAATCACTTTTTGTGGATGTTCCTGCAACGTGTGGTTTTCTATTTTCTCAAAACAGTTTAGGTTTTTCACTAGTTTTCACATGTAGATATATTTCTGCCTTTGTCACGTCTTTGGTCCTCTTTTTCAGACAGAAAGGTAAAAAATAGAGGATCACTCTTGTTCAGCCAATCAGCTCTCAGCCCAAAGTGTAAATGAGTGACTCAGAGGGGTCTTTCTTACAAATTTAGATGGTACGATTTCAGAATACATTTTTTACCACGGACCCAAGAAATGATTTGACTTTCTGAGATACCTCCACATCTGCAGTAGGTCTAAAGCAGGACTCTTCTGAATCTCGTTCAGGACTATAATCCCCAGTGACTTTTCTGATGACTTTTGAGAATTTGAAAAACGCTCTGTTGTACAAAAACAAAACAGAAGACTATATATGAAAATATTTGAGCAGTCTTAACTTACAGATTTCCTCAAGAATCTTTATCTTATCCTGTCTCGCCCTGTGATTGGAGATCATGCAGAATAAAAGGTGTTAGGTGTTTGTGGCTGTAGTGAAAGTCTGCTGTTGTGTCCCTCAGAAAATACTTTATCCACATTAGTTTGGATCTGCTGCCAGTGAGTGGGCTGCTAGGACTGTTTGTTGTTATGACATATTTAACGCAAAATATATATCAATAGTTTATTTTATAGTTATCTTCTTTCTCACCAGAAACCTTCTTGGATGTAAAAAATAGCTCATTTGGGTTTCAAGTCGAGTTTTATTTGTGTTTGATGAACAATTTCCACATGCCACATTACTAAACATGTTGTTGTTTGTTCTTGTTTTAGAGTGCATTTTTTTATTGAACAAATGCACTCCATAAGAACATAAATGAGCTTGCAAATAATGATGTTTTCTATGGCTTAATCATTGGAGAAATCTTTACCTGTGAGTTTACATACATATGATTATTTGTCATTATTACATATTTCAGTGGTCTGTCAAATATCATTCATATTGCTGGTCATATGAACATGTACTGTATGTAGCCACGTCTGCACTGGGGCAAACTAGTGTAGTGGACGCACATTCTCACAGCTACACAATCTATTACTATTTCAAAGATTTTAAGAGTGAATGAGTCACTTTTCCTTTTCTGTTTGAGGAATTGTATTGATGACACTTTGTACATGGTTTTATGTCATTATACTGAAACAAAACTTTCTGTAAATGAATTTCACATTGCATCTTGTTACAATTGTAGCCGTATGTTACTGCACAAATCAAATAAACATTTACTTTATTTGTAGACGACAGGAGTTTAATCACAAGAGCTTCATATTCTCTAGACCAGGGGTGCCATTCATGCGGCCCGCGGGCCGGATCTGGCCCGCCAAGAGTTTTGATACGGCCCGCGGCTCGTTTATGTAAAATGATAAGAATTTAAAAAATAAATTAAAAATCCGCCGAGGCTCAGTGAGTTGAGTTGAGTACGTCTGTAGCTGGCTTCACCAGAGCGGTGCTGAAGGAATAACATCTAAAGTACGAGACTCTGCGATACAGCACTTTGAGTGGAGAATTGAGAAGACAGAAGATAAACATGTCTGGCCTTGAAGACACAGCAGTCTGTTTGTGCCAAGAGCAAGAGGTCAGTGATGCTGCTGTAAAGGGAAGCTACCTGAGTGCTAATAACATAGCCTTAGCATCGCAGCCACACAGTGAGAGAGTTTGTTAAAACTCTCATACAGGCTGCAGACATGGTCTGAGAAACCACACACTGTCACCAACATGTTGCCATTGATAAGAGACTGATGTTACTGATGTCGCATATTCATTTGTGGTGTTACTGAAACTATCAGAGGAGTTTTGAGCGCTGCTGCTGGTGGCGCTGCTGGTGCTGTTGTTGCTGGTGCTGTTGGACAGTGTGGACTGGTCCTGCGCTCTCAGTCTGGTACCGATGGTAAAGCAGGAGTTGTGACAAAGCCGCAAATGGAGGTGATGATTTTTGGACATTTGACTGTATTTCACACAGAGACACTGCTGCAGTCGTTAAGAATGGATCACGTTATGGAAGTTGTTTTGTTCATTTCAACTGAAACATGGTCAGTTTGATGCTTTCTCTCTGACAATAACATACATGGACCTTACCACACTGAAGATGGTTAAGCTGAGGTGCTGTGTTAAAGTGCTTTTTTCTATCTACCTACTTTACCTTTGTGAGCCAGTTATCTCTGTAATGAGCCTTAAAACAAAGCTAACATACAAATGTTAATATAAATATTGTGAAATGCCATTTACAATGTAATATTGTAAATACATTACATTATTTGCACTATGAAAAACTCACTGTTACATTTAGTTTGTAACAGATTTACAGTAAAAACGGAGCGAGTATACGACAGTGTTTTAAAGGAACTTTTATATGAATGTGTTTTTGTGCACAAAAAGTTGGACTTTGTACCATTTTTGGGTATTTTTGTAGAGCATCTTCTGGTCCTGCCCAATTGAGATCCAAATAGGTTGTATTTGGCCCCTGGACCAAAATGAGTTTGACACCCCTGCTCTAGACAAAGAATTGTTAAATGGGAATACAGCACTAATTGTTAAGAATGTCAAAAATGCCTCGTTCATATACAAAATTCTACGTTCGGCTTACAATTGTACTTGTTGTTAATTCCTCAGACGAATATGGGTCTTAAACAAAATATTTATTGTTAATCAATCTAAATGATGAGAAAACAATTTTTGAAATAACGTTATAACTAAATGATTAACATGACACGTTTACAAATATAATTGTTTTTCCCCCGGGAAAAAAAAAAGTATATCGATAGCCTCCCTCAAAGGAATCAAACGACTGTGTTTTGCTCACGGTGGCGCTATATGCCAGTAAATGATCCAGGCCTGCGCTGCAGACTCACATTATTCAGTTCCCGTTGTGGATTTGAAGAGAAAACTTAACACGGAGCTGGTCACAGTCGAAGCCTTCTGTTTTACGCGTCTGTTCGTTGTTTTAGGGACGATGGTATTTCTGAAGAAAACCTGTACATTTGTGTTCATCTTTACATGGATCGAGGCGACATGTGGAGATGTGAGTTATTCCATCCCGGAGGAAACCAAACGAGGATGGGTTATTGGAAATATAGCGAAAGACCTGGGACTGAAGAACGGAGTGTTAAGCCTCAGAAAAGCCCGCATTGACGCCGAGGGGACAGACAGGCGCTACTTTGACATGAACGTGGACAACGGGAACCTGATTGTAGCAGACAGAATTGACCGAGAGGAGCTTTGTGGAGACAGGGCGTCGTGTGTCGTAAAGCGAGAGCTTGTTCTGGAGAGTCCTCTGGAGCTTCACCGGATAAGCGTCCATGTGCAAGACATCAACGACAACGCACCCAAATTTAACGAAGAGGTTATCAGTCTGGAAATAAGCGAGTCTGCAGACAGAGGGGCGCGTTATTTTATAGAGGAGGCGCATGATGAGGATGTGGGGCAGAATTCCATTCAACGATATAGTCTGAATGAAAATGATAATTTTGCTTTAATAATCACAGGAAACACCATTGAGCTAGTGCTCGATAAAGAATTAGATCGTGAAAAACAGCAGGACATAGATTTAGTTTTGACAGCTTTTGATGGCGGGTCTCCGCAGAGATCAGGGACAGTGGCCATACACGTCACTGTGCTGGACGCTAATGATAACGCCCCTGTCTTTAGTCAGGCCGTGTATAAAGCCAGTCTGCCTGAAAACTCTCCCATAGAGACTGTTGTGGTCACTGTTAGTGCGACTGATGCGGACGAGGGCGTCAATGGAGACGTGAGTTATGATTTTGGACGTGTTACTGAAGATGTGAAAAAAACGTTTAGTATAAATCATAAAACAGGTGACATAATTGTTATTGGTGATATTGACTTTGAAATCACAAATTCCTTTGAAATTCGCGTTAAAGCGAAAGATGGATTAGGATTGTCATCTCCTGGAAAAGTCATAATTTCTGTCACTGATGTAAATGACAATGCTCCTGTGATCAGTTTGAAATCGTTATCAGAAACTATAACAGAAAATAGTCCTCCTGGTACAGAGGTGGGCATTATTAATGTCCAGGACAGAGACTCAGAGAACAACAGACAGGTCCACTGCTCCCTTCAGACTGGGATCCCTTTCAAGTTAGTTCCTTCCATTAAAAACTATTATTCTCTGGTGACCACAGAGCAGCTGGACCGTGAGCTAGTGTCTGATTACAACATTACAATCAGTGCCACTGACGAGGGCTCTCCACCTCTGTCCTCCTCTAAAACTGTCCACTTAACTGTAGCTGACATCAATGACAACCCTCCTGTGTTTGAGGAGCAGTCCTACAGCGCACATGTGACTGAAAACAACAAACCTGGCTCCACTTTATGTTCTGTTGCTGCTCGAGATCCAGACTGGAGACAAAACGGGACAGTGGTTTATTCTCTGTTACCTGCTGAGGTGAACGGGGCCCCAGTGTCCTCCTATGTGTCTGTGAATGGAGACACAGGGGTGATCCATGCTGTGAGGGCTTTTGATTATGAACACTTCAGGAGTTTTCAAGTCCATGTGATGGCCAGAGACAATGGCTCTCCTCCACTCAGCAGCAACGTGACAGTCAATGTGTTTATATCTGATGTGAATGACAACTCTCCTCAAATACTGTACCCCAGCCCAGAGGGGAACTCCTTCATGACTGAACTGGTCCCTAAAGCTGCACATGCAGGCTCTCTGGTGTCCAAAGTGATAGCAGTGGACGCAGACTCTGGACAGAACGCCTGGCTGTCCTACCACATCGTAAAATCCACTGATGCTGGACTTTTTACTATTGGTGTCCACAGTGGAGAGATCAGGACCCAGCGGGACATCTCTGAATCTGACAGCATGAAACAGAACCTTATTGTGGCAGTGAAGGATAACGGACAGACTCCTCTCTCTGCCACCTGCTCCATGTATTTACTGATCTCTGATAACTTGGCTGAAGTGCCTGAACTCAAGGACATTTCTTATGATGAGAGGGACTCAAAGCTGACATCCTATCTGATCATTGCCCTGGTGTCAGTGTCCACATTTTTCCTCACCTTCATCATTATTGTCCTGGGTGTGAGGTTCTGTCGCAGGACGAAGCCCAGACTGTTGTTTGATGGAGCAGTTGCAATCCCCAGTGGTTATCTGCCTCCTAATTATGCAGATGTTGACGGCACAGGAACTTTACGCAGCACTTACAACTATGATGGATACATGACAACTGGATCCAGGACAAGTGACTTTAAGTTTGTCTCGTCCTACAATGACAACACGCTGCCTGCAGAGCAGACGCTGAGGAAAAGCCCCACTGACTTTTCTGACGTCTTTGGGGATTTAGAAGAATGCTCAGAGGTATGTCGTATATCAAATATATATTCATTGGTATTTTTAGTTTTCCTCTGGTTTTGATTGAATCTTTTTTGGGGTGAAATATCCTCTGCATTCACTTCCAGCATGCAGCTCAGGTGATACATTTTTATTTTTATTTTTTTTTTCCTGTCATTTACTACTCATTACTCTTTTGTTTTAATCTAATGTGGCCATAGCCAAAATCGTATAAATTGTCTGATGGGAGACAGCAGGAATTACAACTGAAACATTGGACACATGGCATTAAGTTAAAACTTACCTGGCAGACTTATACAGACATTTCAATTTGGAGAGACGTGAAACAAGAAGCTTTGAGTATTTATCGGGAGGAGGTTTGGCGCCCTAGGCCCCGGTGCGGCCTTCGGATCGGAGGGCCTCCATGCGAAGGAGCGAGCCAATCCCCCGGGACCTAGGCACTGGTGGCGGCATTTGCAGCGGGAAGCAGATTGAAGGCAGAATGAAGGCAGGGTGAAGAGGAGGAGGAGGGGAGGCGGTGGAGGGGAGGCGGTGGTTGCAGGCTTCGAGAAGGCCGAGAATGGGAGTTCCTCCACTTTTAAGCAGCTTGCCTGGCTGGACCGGTGATTGGAAGGGGGCGTTTGCCGTGCGATAGGCTGGGGATGAGAACCGGCCTGGAGGGGTTACCTTTGGCTGACGTCTACCAAATTGAACTTTCGCTGGCTGCATTTCAATTTGGAGAGACGTGAAACAAGAAGCTTTGAGTATTTATCGGGAGGAGGTTTGGCGCCCTAGGCCCCGGTGCGGCCTTCGGATCGGAGGGCCTCCATGCGAAGGAGCGAGCCAATCCCCAAAAAGGTTGTGAGTTGATGGAGTTTTGCAGCCTGGTTTGGAGGGGACAGACGTCGAGACTACTCTATGCTGTGACCGCTATCGCTATATACTGTGACCGCTATCGCTATATACTGTGACCGCTATCGCTATATACTGTGACCGCTATCGCTATATACTGTGACCGCTATCGCTATATACTGTGACCGCTATCGCTATATACTGTGACCGCTATCGCTATATGCTGACGAGTCGCGACCATCGCGCGCTAACCATTTTTTGCTATATACTGTGACCGCTAACCATTTTTTGCTATATACTGTGACCGCTATCGCTATATGCTGTGACCGCTATCGCTATATACTGTGACCGCTATCGCTATATACTGTGACCGCTATCGCTATATACTGTGACCGCTATCACTATATACTGTGACCGCTATCTACTGTGATCAAACTTGCAGATACTCGGCTGCTGGCGGCTCCCTATCCGGAAGAAGTGAGCTGTGTAGAGATGGGGAGACAGGTTACGAAGCAGCAGTACGGACTTTGGTTGGGCTCTGAACCAGTTGGATGACATTGGGAGGTGATCGGGGTTGAGAAATAACGGTCAGTTGAGATCTCCTTTCCGAGAGCGGAGGCGAGTGTAATGCATCATGGGTTATCTTTGCGCGCTGGGAACGTGAGCGTTTGCATCACGTTCCGTCAGACGCTGCGGCAGCGGAGAGTGTTTGAGAAGTGCGTGCCGCCACCAGAATCTTATTGCTTCACTTACTTTGCTTCGTATTGCTTTGCTGGGAGCTTACGAGGAAGCCAGTAGACGTTGTGCAGCCAGGATAGCGGACGCGTCTGGCCTGATGTAGGCGGAGAAAGCTGAAGAGGACCAGCGCCCCAGCTGTTGCAGAGAGGTGTGCTCGTGTAGGGCAGAGGAGATGCTCCGGTGGAAAGTAGCGGCCACGGCCCGGCAACCCAATGGTCCTGGAAAAAACCCCCCAAAACCCACGGAAGGGGCACGTCCGTGTAGAAGCGGAGACCTGTAGGGGCAGAGACGTATCGGAGAGGGCCATGAAGTTGCAGGCGCCCTCACGCTTAGAATCTCGGGTTGGAGAGTAGATAATCAGGATAGTAGGATGGTCGGGAAAAGCCGTATCTCGGACCGCGTGAAGGTTGAGTGAGCAGTATTGAAACGCTTATGCAGAGAAGCCATGGAAGGCGAGCAGGAAGATGCTGCGAGGAGGGCAGACATGTACTTGGAAGATGAGCCGGAGTTCAGCGCCGCTGCAGGATGGGCAGCATGATGGGGAGCCTGCGATCAGAAGAGCGAAGAATACAGGTATGGATGCCTTTGATTAGGAGTCCGATTGACGGCTCAGCGCAGCTACTTGGCCAGCTGCATCTGATAGAATCGGAAGATTAAGTAAAGAGATGAAGCATGACCGCCGAAGCGACCCTGGGAGCATAGGTGCGAGTCCAGCGCAGCGCGGCATACTCAGCCGGGCTGCATCCATTAGAAGCAGGATAAGCTTCTGAGAGAGTGGGTTGCAGCAGTAGCAGTAGCAGTAGCAGCAGCGGCAGCAGCAGTAACCTCAGATAATAACGGCAACGACCTGTATCAGCCGCGGCAGCAGCAGCTACAGCATCCGTAGATAATAACGGCAAAAACCCTGTATCAAAGCCACGGCATTAGAATATGTTGTAGCTGTTTAGTGTTTCAGTAAGAGAAGCGAAGTGAAGAGAGATGACGAAGTACATGAAGCAGCAGCAGCACGGCAGTAGTAGCAGTATGAAGCAGCAGCAGTAGCAGCAGTAGCGGTAGCAGTATGAAGCAGCAGAAGCAGGCAGCAGGGACAGACAGCAGCAGGAGCGGCAGCAGGAACAGGCAGCAGCAGGAGTGGCAGCAGGAACAGTGGCGGCGGGATCAGGCATCAGTAGGAACGGCAGCGGGGACCGGCAGCAGCGGCGGTCAGAGAACCATGCCCATGGTTGTTTAACAGCCTGAGGAAAAGAAAAGAAAAACCGACCCGAATCCGAAACATCCCATGTGAATAACAGACGTCCCCTGGAGCCATCTGCTGCTTTGGTTATGGCAGATACGCATGAACGATCACTGATCCATGCGTTCATAGCTCCAACACTACTTCACACCCATTGCAGAGTCATGTTGGGCCCTTTTTCTTTCTGCTGCACTTTCAAAATGCAACAACTGCAGTTAGTTACCTAATTAAATACCAGCGACCTAGCTATTTAAATGCATGGTTTTACTGCAAGTGGCAGAACATGAACTGAATTAATGCACATAGCTCCTCGTATATCCCTCAGACGATAGAGATTGATGACATTTAATATGCATTGCCCCTCAGTTAGCTCAACACAATGAAACGGAGCCTGCAGACCAAGCACGGGGCGAAAAAACTGGCGCCTGCAGTCAAGTGCGCGGGGCAAAAACCAATCGCCTGCAGCCCAAAACTCCGGGATTAATCTGTCCGCGGTCAGCACACTCACTGTACTCACATGCCAGGGGACTTGGGAAAAGCAACGGGACAACGCGGCACCGCCAAACGAGGCAGGGACACGCACGGCACCGCCAGACCTTCTGCGTGCGGCAGCAGACCACGAGGAACGAGCAGCACAGCACCCGCGGAGGGCCCCGCGGAGCAGCCCGCAGAAGAGCCCGCAGAGGAGAGCAGTGGAGATATGCAAACCACAGCAGGTGCAGGGACGCGGAGGGGGAGCAGGCCAGTGCAGGGACGCGAAGGAGGAGCAGACCAGTGCAGGGACGTGGAGGAGGAGCAGACCAGTGCAGGGACGTGGAGGAGGAGCAGACCAGTGCAGGGACGTGGAGGAGGAGCAGACCAGTGCAGGGACGTGGAGGAGGAGCAGACCAGTGCAGGGACGCGGAGGCGGAGCAGACCACGAGCAGCCAGACGGAGGACGCCAGGGACGCGCCGAGTAGCGTGAGTAGACGAAAACGATTCCTCCAGACGATTCTTTGCAGGCTTCGAGAAGCTTGCAGGCTTCGAGAAGGCCGAGAATGGGAGTTCCTCCGCTTTTAAGCAGCTTGCCTGGCTGGACCGGTGATTGGAAGGGGGCGTTTGCCGTGCGATAGGCTGGGGATGAGAACCGGCCTGGAGGGGTTACCTTTGGCTGACGTCTACCAAATTGAACTTTCGCTGGCTGCATTATTATGAGCTTGTGAGTTAGTAATAGGGGATTGCTACAATTTTAAGGCTTTGTTTATATCAACCGGGCAGGGCAGCTGTGGTTTGAGCAGCGCCTTTCACGCATTTCTGGAATGAATGAAGCTGTAAAGTTATTTTGCTGATATCAAGGCATTTTATACACTCAACATTTTCCTTTTCTTGTTGTGAACCGTATTAAACATACAATGATTCCTGAAATGTTTTTCACTGATCCTTTATCCTCAGATATTCCTGATAAAACAGCTGGGTTGAAAAAAAAAATAAATAATACAATTTTACTCTGAAAGTTTTCACAAGTAGTTTGTGGTTATGTTATATCCGTCTGGATAAAGTAATTAATGCAACGCATTGAAATGTACACATGAGGATCACACTTATTATTCAAAAACATATTCACTATAGTTGTATTGGCATATTGCAATGAGCGACAACTTTGCTGTAGTGAAGCGAGTGAGTGTGTGGTGCGTCAGATTTCCACTGGGGGGTAGATGTTCTCCATTTGCCTTTGATGCATTGCCGCTGAGGATGAAGTCACTGCAAATGTTATTTGTATTCACATTTGTTCATGGCGTGACTCATTCTGCAATCTGTGTCAGTGGAACTGGAGAAGTGGGTTAAAGCTGGCTGCGCGCAAACCACTGCAGAAACGCACAGAAGCTCCGTGTGTGAGCGTGTGTGAATGTGTGTGTGTGTTTTTGCGCCTGCGCGTTTGTATTTATATGTGTGTGTGTGTGTGTGTGTACATGCAAGAGTCGAGCAGGCAAGGGAGAGAAATTGGGATGTAGAGCGAGAGGCACGTAAGCCGACATGCTCCCTTTTAATAGAGCATGATTAATACAGCCAGGGATGAGGCGAAGCTGCGAGTTGGTAAATCGCAGGGCAGTTTAGATTTTTCCACTGTAGCAGATAGTAACCATGTGTCTGAAAGTGCACATATTTTGGACCTTTTTCCTCCTTTTTGCTTCGTCCTACGGTGAAGTCCGGTATGCACTTTTGGAGGAACTACGGCGTGGAGACGTTATTGGAAATGTTGCTCAAGATCTCGGACTCAGAATTATGGATCTTCGCAGGCGGGGAGCCCATGTCATTTCCGAAGGCACCGCTAGACTTTTTGAAATGGACATTACTTCGGGAAATCTGATCATCAGCCAGCGCATAGACCGAGAGGAGTTGTGCGCACAAACCTCTGTCTGCACCCTGCACTATCAATTGTTACTCGACGATCCTCTTCAAGCGCACAGTATAGTTTTGGATGTCGGAGATGTAAACGACAACAGCCCCGTATTTGGCACACATGAAATAAAGTTAGATATTCTGGAATCTACAGACACTGGACGAAGGTTTCCTATCGAGAGTGCACAGGATCCAGACTTGGGTATAAATGCTGTGCGCTATTACAAACTAACCTCAAATGATCATTTCACCTTGGAGCACAATACTCAAATAAATGGAGTAATTTATCCCGAGCTAGTCTTGAACAAAGCTTTGGATTATGAAGCACAGCGTCAACATATACTAGAAATCAATGCCATTGACGGGGGAAATCCTGCAAGATCTGGGACAGCATCTATCCTTGTGCGTGTTTTGGACGCAAATGACAATGTTCCAGTTTTCAATCAGCGTGTTTATAAAGTGGCTGTGCCAGAGAACTCGCCCCTCGGAACTACAGTCATCAGACTTAATGCTACAGATGCGGATGGCGGGCTTTATGGAACTATCACCTACTCCCTCCGTCACAAAATAGAGACATTTGAGATTAATTCATGCGAGCGGAGACGTCATTGTGGCCGGTGTTATTGACTTTGAAGAGACGAATATCTACGAACTCGATATCCAGGCAAACGATGGGGGCGGACAGACGTCACTTTGCAAACTCTTAATTGATGTAACTGAAATGAATGACAACAAACCCGTGGTCGAAATAAAGTCAGCATCTACGAACGTACTGGAGGATTCCAATCCCGGAATCATGGTTGCTCTTATCAATGTGTATGACTTGGACACAGGGAGCAGTGGGCATGTTACTTGTGTAATAACAGAAGATGTTCCCTTTAAGCTTGTATCAGATGTGAAAAATTACTTTATGTTAGTGACTGATGGTATTTTAGACAGAGAAATTCAAGACAAATATAACATTACTATTGTGGCCACTGATGGGGGCTCTCCCGCTCTTTCAAGCTTCCAAATATTAACAATTACAGTCAGTGATATTAATGACAACTCACCGAGGTTTGTGCAGAATGACTTTACTGCAAATGTTTTAGAAAACGAGCCAGTTGGCACATACGTTATAGCTGTGAAAGCAGAAGATCACGACGCTTCATCAAATTCTCAATTGGAGTATCACATTTCAAAGCACACAGACGACGCTTCGTTTTTCAGCATCAGTTCAGAAACAGGGGTGATCTTCACAACACGTCCATTTGATTATGAAAACTCTGTACATTACCAAATTGTCGTAATAGCCCAGGATGGGGGCACACCTCCTCTTTCCTCTAGCTGTACAGTAAATATTTTTATCCAAGATCAAAACGACAATGCACCTGCTGTGTTGTACCCTGTCCAGAGCAACGGCTTGAACACTGAAGAACTGGTTCCTTTTGATGCACCCAAAGGTTACCTTGTTACTAAGGTGGTGGCTGTTGATGGTGACTCGGGTCACAATGCTTGGCTTTCTTACCAAATCATAAGTGCCACTGAGCCTCATATGTTTAGTATTGGTCACCACTCCGGGGGAAGTCAGAACGGCCCGCGCCTTTATGGAAAGTGATGAACCAAAACATAGTTTGATAGTTTTAATAAGCGATAACGGGCCAGCAACTCTGTCTGGCACGTGCAGGGTCAGTATTGTAATTACTTCTGGATTACCAGTGTTGAATGAATTATTTGAGTTTGAGGAGCTCCAGGATGGCGAAAATATAACTTTTTACCTAATATTAGCACTTTCAATTATCTCTTGTCTTTTCATGCTTTTCATTGGGGTGGTTTTTTATTCTAAACTTTGTAATCAACGTTACATGTATCGTTCAAATAGCGCGTCTCTCCCAGTTTTTCCCACCAGCTATTGTCCACCTCCTTTTGCGGAATTCAGTCGTTGCGGGACACTTTTGAACGATGAACAATTTGATCCATTTATGACCACTGGCTCGTGGAGAGGTGACTTTCGATTCAATTCAAACACAGACACGGACACGTTAAAGAAGCGAAGTGCTGCTTATCACAAAGGCACCATTAGGGGTATTAGTGCAGACCAATCAGGGGTCAGGACTGATGTTCCGCATCCATTCTACGTAATTACATGAGAGAAAATAAAATATTATTATTATTAATAATAATAATAATAATCAAATGCCCACTCTCTCATGTCAAAGAACATGAGATGTACATTATTTTAGTTGTTGTTTTTAAGTTGTTTGAATTTAATACATGCATGAGTTAAAGTGATAGTCTGGAGTTTGTCAGAAAAAAGAGAGAGAGGTACATGTTTTTTTTTTTTTAATACGAGCTATAGCTAAGATAATATTATAATTCATAAAATGACTTATTTTATATCAATATTTAAGGCCAGGAGGTCAATTGAATACAGGTCTTAAAACATGTAATTCATTTAGAGTTCCAGACTATCACTTTAAAGGTAAACATTATCTACCTTCATACTGTAATTTAAAATATTTAGTCTATAACATTGTTTATCTATTCGTGTTAATATCTTTCCATTGGTGCACTATATACTTAAAAGAACGTTCTTGCATAGATTGTAATTATAATGTTTCTCCCATGTCTCTGTCTGCATATTTGTATATTGTTTGAATAAAATTCAATGTATTTAATTTCTGACGTGCAATGTGCTGGTTTTATAATTCTGTAGTTCACACAAAAACAACACAAAAAGTAAAAGTAAAGTAAAATGTAGGGAAGTAATATGAATGAATAAATAACTTACAATGCAATAACTTGGCACTTAATAGATTACATTTTCCACAATTTAATCTGAAAAGCATTCAACTTGAGCTGTTCTATATAAATAAAGATTGCTTGCTTGCTTGCTTCTGTTCTTCCATCATTCCCTAAATGTCACCTTGGTGTAAGCAATACAGAAAAGATCAGATGACTTGGTACTTGGTCAGTGTGTGTCTTGCTCTTCTTTACCTTTGTATTTTGAAACTCTTTAGAAACTTTTTTTTAGGTCTCACAGGACAACAGGTCAATTCTAGTCTTTGTTCAACTGGTTATATATCTTTGTCATACTTAAATAAGTGATTCAAAATGTACCCCTCACAAAACAATGTGATTTTGACAATCAGCTGAAATGGCATCTGCTAATAAACACCTTTCTCTCTCTCTCCTTTTGCATGTCTGAGCCAAGGCCATTGCAGTTAGTCTAGCCTGCTGGCGACAAATGCATGGCCAAAGAATCTCAAGGTCTGCCCTGGACATATATTTCTAACTTTGCAGTGTTTTCAGATGGGTCAAAAAGCTGTTGATGTTAATGATTTATTTGGCTATTGAAATAGCCACATAATCCATAACCTTCTCAACCAAGCTTTTTTACATCTGGAAGAACCCTGCCAAGTTTGAACTATAGTGGTGTCAAGGGCCCAGGACTTGGAGGTTTCTTGTCCCTGGCATTTTGTCCTCCAGCAGGCTAGACTTACTGCAATGGCCCCCTGCTACAGGTGTCTGTCCAAACCGGCTGGGTTAAACGCAAGGCTGGCAAGTACATTCAAACAGCAGGCGCTAGGGTCCCTGCCAGGAACCCAGGAAGTATGACCATATTAGTCCGGTCCTCGGTCTCCTGCACCTGGCTTCCTGTGGCTCATCGAACTCGCTTTTAAAACGGGCTCTGCTTGGTGTACCAAGTCTCTCCATGGCCTTGCACCCAGAATACCTTAGTGGACATGTGGTGGTTTCATAATTGAACCAGCCCGGACTACTTGAGGAGCACAGGGACTGGCCTCCGGCTGGTTGCCCACCCAGCGTGAGAAACCAAACATGGGGAGGCCTGCTTTCAGATCCATGGCACGCTAAATCTGGAACAATCTCCCTGGAAAAATGTGAGGGAGGGTCTACTCTGTCACTGTTCATTCAAATCCAGGTTAAACGACTGTTCTGTTTTCTGTGGGCATACAACTGCAAGGATTTTCTCTCCATTTCTAATGCACTGCTGTCCTGATATTTTAATTTTTTTAAACTTTCCTTTGTTGAAATTTTATGATTACGCACAGAAACTCTTTGATTGAGTTTGTTCATAATCAAATGAACGCGCGGCACTAATAACTCCATTTTCTGAATTGACAGAAATATAACCAGAAACAGGAGCGCCCCCGATGTCACACTCCTCTAAAATATATGACACACGCGCGTTCTGGTTTTCATCCGGGTCTTTGGCTACAACACTCACCACAGAAAAACCAGGGGAGTTATTCTCAGCTATTGTCGCGCTGTAGAGCGCACGTGTGAAAACTGGAGCATTGTCATTCACATCTGA